GAACCAAATTTATTCTCGCTTTAGAGCCATATACTTTAAAATGAAATACTTGCACATACGCAGCTATCAAAATCACTATCTCACCAAGGACATTCTGGAGATCGATGAGCAGCGCAAGGGCACAGAGTTGGACCGACTATTACCGCTAAAACGAAGTGAACGTCGCAAATATATCTGGGTTAGTTCAATGCCCAACTAAAAAAGTTCAACTTGGTGAATGAAGCGCAACCTCGTGTCATTTATTTATGTAGATCTCAAGCTGTCGTCTGACGCGCCGCGAGATTTTTAGGCTGATGCGTTCCATGCTATTTCTTTTTATTTCCAACATACAGATTTTCTGCATCTGCTTCGCTGATTATTGCTTCTACTGGTTGTTGGCAATGATCACCTACTATGGCAGCCAGCAGGCAAATATAGAGGGTGAGTGCGTGTGTGCTATGAAATTCGAGGTTCTTTTATTTTTGTTCTAACGCCGTTGGCAGTTCCGCCATTCATTACCGTTGATGTGAAAGGCAGTGGGTATGTGGCAGACATATTTCGTGGTATCGTGGAAGCTTTCGAGCCGCTTAGTCAGAAATATAACATCGATGCCACGCCCTGCCTTCCGATGCCGAAGCGTCCTAATTTTAAGCGCTACATGGAAATCAGCGGAATTTGTTTGCTGGCTTGGGTTTTTCTCTTTTGTGAGCCATACGGGTTGCGGCTGCGGCATATTGTTATGCGTCTGTATTATCCAGTTGAGGCGAAACAGCGAGCCGCTTGGTTGTACAATGAAATCCTCTTGAAGCGCAGTGAGTTGTAGCGCAGGATTTTGACTGAAAAAAAAAAATTAAAATAAATTAGGAAACCCTCACTTATTCGCAGTGACATTTTTGAAGCTGCTGAGGCGTAAAGCGCGCGCTAAGTTTAAAAACGAGCCCAGCGAGGATCCCTATACGTTTCTGGATTGGATTCGAGCAAAGACCAATCGGTAAATTCATGCCTGCATAAACTGCAGAGTTTTTAAATTATTACAAATTTTTTCTTTCAGCTGCTTTCTCTGTCGTCTCATATTCGGTCATCGTAAAGGTGACACCTGCATTCTCTGCGGATTCCGGCTAAAAGGGTAATTCGTATGGAAAGTCTTAATTTAATTGTTCATACGATTTTATAGAAATAATTTTTAGTTGGCTCGAGCAATGGCCCTTAATACCGATGGTCCGCAAGGGATAACGTCCCAGCACCATCTGGATAATGGGCTCAATGCGAGGTGGCTACCGCACAGGCAGTGCTTGAAACAGAGCCACCTCTTGAGCACGTCAGTAGCCACCTCTATGAATTTACGGGCGAGAACCACACACCATTGGACGCATCGCTGTACACACAGGCAACCAGCGACTTTCACCAAGACACAATTACTAGCTTCTATAACACTAACACTGAATTAAGCATTCATGTCGATGGCACATCAAGTAAACAACCCTGAAATTTTAGGGGTCATCTTTGATAGCCTGTTCTCATTCTCCACGCACACAACAACAACAAAGTACAGAGCCGCAACAAGGTCCTCAAGTCGCCCGCCGGCGGCACCTTGGGCATAAACAAAGAAACGTTGCTGGCAACTTGCAAGGAAATTTGCCGACCGGTTCTAAATTATGCTGCGCCTGTTTGATCGCCGGAGACAAGTGGGACGCAGTGGACGAAGCTACAGACTTGCCAGAACAGACTTGCAGTTTCTGGTGGGGTGCCACAAACTGAACACCTTAACTTCCCTTGCTAGAGGAGGAGTCTTCCCCCGGGCACGTCATGGGGCACCTATACAAGGACGCGGGCCAGACATACATCGACCAACCACTGAACCCGACGGCGTACCGACGAGCTATCACCGACATTCATAGGGAGTCAGTCAGATCTTAAACAGACGGCAGCGTTGATCCGGATCAACTCGGGTATTAACTGCAGTTGATCCGGATTAAGTCGCAGTTAATTCCGATCAACGCTGCCGTCTGTTTAAACTTTCACCGCCTAACACGACACCTGGCTTATGAATGCCGTGATCGGAGCCCAATCACCACCTATAGCAGAGACGGAACTTCAACCGCCAAGAGAGACCTGTGTTACCCTGGCCCAGTTGCGGTCTTGATACTGTAGTCACCTTAACAGCTACCTGTCCAGTCTCGGCCCCAATATTCCCAATGAGTGTGTCCGACATGTGGGGACTCCCCGCACGACATCAACCACCTCTTCACTCTTTGGTGTTGAAACTGCCCGTTTCCTGGGCCTACGCCTACCGTTAGTTGAGCTTGACGACAATGACTGACGGTCGACACGAACGAGGCGAGGCTTAGTAGTGCCGCTACAACAACAACAACAACAACAACACAACTTTAATTTCACGTCTGTCTTCGACATTACCTACAGCGTTTTAAAAACCGATGAAGCTGGACTGACTGATACATTTAAAACTCTTGCACAGTCAAACTTCTTTGTATCAGAAATTAGTTAACCAAGGATATTAGAATTGTATTTTGTCCTATTTACTAGAATGCCTAGTTTTCATTCGTTATTTTATTCCTAATTTCGAATCAATTATCTTTCTAAGTGCCTAATGATTTTCCAGAGACAAAGTGGAATGCTCAACTCCCGGCTGCAAGGCGGTTTACTGCCAGAGCTGTTTTGACGAATCCAGTCAAATGTGCTGCATATGTAGGAATCCTGTGGAGTACGGTGATGGCAGCGACATATCGGAAGAAAAGTAAGTGTAACTGCATTTTAGCGGAATTGTAAGCAAAACCTAACGGATTCTGTTCATTGCGCAGGGATTCCTCTGATGATCCGGACGCTGTGCGTCAGCCGCACGAAAGCGATCAATACTGCATTTGGGTGCCCTAATACGCACCAAGCATTCAAAGCCAACTGAAAACAATTTCCACCAAATTTACCCACTGACTAAGTTTTCTTTCTAAGTATTAAATGAATTCATTACCATTTACAGCACACTTACTATGGCAGACTGGCTGTTGGCTTCTTTTCGCAAAATTCCGCATAGCAAACCGAGTATGGTCACAGCAGCAGAACAACAGTGGAAAGACAACCGATTTTGGTTAACATGCAGCTGCAATAGATACACTGCCACTTTGTTTGGTTTGGCATAAGTTATGCTGGCTGTATTGCTTTCATTCAACACCCCAATCCAGGCTGTGTTGCCCAAATAAGCGAACTAAGCAAACGGCCCCTCCTTGTCGCAATTGGTTAGTGGCTGGACTTTCTGCGCTGCGCCGGGCTGCCGTAAATGAAGCAATGTGGTGGCACAGGCGGCGGCAGTCGCCTATATGCAGCAGGTACGATGATCGGTGAAATCGGTGTATCGCTGATGTGATCAACATCGAAACTAGTAAATGGACAAATTGTGTGTTGTTTATGGCGCAGCTGCGGTTGAACACATCAAATGTATTAACACACGTATGGCGAATACTATCAGTGGGAGCTTCTGCAGGCTTTTACATCCATATTGTCGCTCGGGCTAGCAGCCAGGTAAGACAGTCGCTTCTGTGTGAGCACAGCATTCTTTGGCGAAGCACCGATCGACCGAAGCCGAAGCCACTGCACACCGCATAGCGCGGCGTAAGACATTTGAAAATTGCTGACGAATCGTAACTTTACTCCACCGTCTCGTCTGGATGATTGCGCGGGCAAAAAACGGCTGAGCTGTTGGCCAAATGAAGTAGCGACATATTTTCATAGCGTTTAGCGGGAGTGGCTGTCGTGATGATGATGATGATGGTGATGGTGATGGCAATGGTCATGTCGGCTACTGCTTTTGCCCTTGCCGCTCCTGCCGCTGCTGCTGATGCTGCTGCTATCTGTTGGCCGCTGATGATCGTGCGCTCCGCTGATGAAGTGGGAATGCTGTTGACATTTACTGCGAATTAGTGTAGTCATGACGACATTGCTCACATATTTTCGCGCACATTCTGGCCGCTATCGCTGAGGAGCAAAAGACAATTAAATGCACATAAAGTCGACAGCAATTCGAATTGCGTAAAATGGCTGCCAATGTCGACTGGAGTTGTGAAGTTGTGGACACAAAGCGTGAAACGTCGTCGACCCTTTCATAATTTACTTCGCTGGTATTTTGCGCGATGCGTTCTTCGGAATCCGCTGTAATTTACGCGCGTGCACAACAACACAACAATCGCATCGAGCGACAGAACGCGTTGCCGGTGTGCGAATTGGTCACATTAATAGACCGAAGACTCTGAGGAAGGCGTAGAGCGTTGCAGAAGAAACGTGACAAACTCTATCCGATAACTGAGGCCCAGCTTGCGATATGTGTGTACATCAATTCGCACCAACATACCCACATACATACTTACGTTTATTTATGAATTTTGAAATTTCTTCAGTTGGTTGCGGTGCATTATTTGATCTTTATTTGTTGCATGCGTCTTTTGTTCGATTTTTATGGATTTTTAATAAAATCTGATATTACTTTAGTGCAGTGTGGTTTGTTGTTGCCACAACATTGTTGTCAGTTGTTTTATTGCTATCGTAATTTTTTATTGTTGTTGTTGTTGTTGTTATGCTAAATGCGTGTGTGCACAAGTGTTTATATGATATTTAACACCCGACGAAGGCATTCACCGTCTTTTGCGTCCCTGCAGCATTTACCTTCCCCAGAGATTTTTTTCATTATTATTTTTTATTTATTTATTACTTTTGTTTTTTTTCTTTGTAGGTGACCACCATCGACGCTCTGTGACATATTTGGATCGCTTTGTTGGGGGGGACACTTATGTTTGTATGTATGTATGCACATAAACAGTCACTCCAAAAGGCGGGCCGACGACGACGACTCTGCTGCGCCTGCGCAATGAATATGTGAAACAGTTGGGGTTTCTTTGGTTGCGGCGGCATCGCTGCATTCCGGAGTAAAACGAATGGTTAAATGATTATGATAAACAGATTAGGTTACCACAAATTTTATAGGCACTCATTTTAATTTCAAAAGAATTTGTTTTTCTTGTGTTTGCATTCTGGGTAGGGGAGTTACTCGTATCTGAGTAGGTTGTTTTACCATTATTACAGATACAATAAAACACCATCCATACGTCATTGCTCTTGTTTAAATTATTCCTTTTGGACCTACATGCATGCATACATGCGTACACACATGGACATACGTGTTTATACACGCATAGGTATTTACACACCTGTGCTGGAAACAAATGCGTTCGCTGTTGACAATTTAGCATTTATGTATCTTTTTCCTTAATTAATAGTCAATAGTACAACATTGCTCCGCCTTGTTCGAAAATGTGTTAAAACGAAGTGCATATTTCAATAAAATTTATTATTTAACTAAATAGCGCATTTCTAGAGCGGCTTATGATACACAAAATAGGGGTATTCATATAACGTGATAAACTTAAAAATTCTATACAAATTTATGATTTTATTACGCTTATCGGCAGTTTATGAAAATATGTGAATACCCCTAGTGACCACAAACGAATGTAAATTAAAAAAATTGCTATTCACACACCTAGTTTCGTTAATTTATCTCAGTAGATCTTGATCTTTGCCTGCCACCCTTTACTTCGTTTCAATCTCAATTCTTTCTCGTATCATTTTCAGCTTACTTAATGTAAAGGGAATCCTTCAACGAAGATGGTTTCGCCTAGGCCAGTGGTGGATGTTTTTCAATTTCGAAATGGTTCATGTAATAGGGGGCTGCCAAACGCTACTTGCTGTGAAGTCTTCGGTTACAGCTTTTTCGATATTTAACGAACGACTGCTGTAGGACTGTATTCTCATCGAAAAAATTTACCTTTTCGATTTTGTGGCCGTGGTGACAAATCGGCAATATAATTTCTTTCTTTCATTTTAGGAATAAATAAGTTATCAAAAATTGCTTAAATTGCTTTTTAATATCCGTATTGCAATATTTCATTTATTTTATCAATCTAATTGAATACAGTTTTTCAAACAGGTGGCAGCCCTGCTCAAACATATTTTCAACAGCAAACTCTCCTAAACCTCTTCAGTTTGATACCCATATGGCAATATTTAATTTATCTTATCAAATAAATCGAATTAAAATTTTCGAACAGCTGGCAACCCTCAAAGATATTTTCGGCTGTAAACCTTCTTAAACCTCTTTCTTTTGACGGTTATATTGCAATACTTACTTTTTATTATCAATTTACTTAAATTGCAATTTTCAAACAGGTGGCAACTCTCTAAATTATTTTCTTTCTATATTTTAAGTTAGACCTTTAGCAATACATCGGTGAAAATTGCATTCAATTCCATGCATTAGTTTTCGAGTGATGCGCGTACAACAAACATGCAGACAGACAGACATAAAAAAAAATTCTAAACATTGTTGATTTGGCTTCTGTTGCTCTAATAAAGACCCCCCCCACATTAATTTTTCTTTAATATCTATAATGTACAGATATCGGCCTGTTACAATTTCATTATATGTATAGATGTTTCGTCAGTGCAGGAAACTTTTTCTTCTCCAGTTTTATAAAAACATAAAATCACTTTCTTTACAGAGTTACTGCAAATATATAAGTGATGACAATAACACAGCTCTAACTCTGACAGCAGACACATAAAACCATGTTTAGTATATAAAAAAAAAAATCTATATTATTGTGCGGAACGTGGTCAGTCTGGTCACTTATCAGATGAGCCTCGTAGCTTAAAGATATCTGTCAATAAAATTTTTGTTGTCTTAAATTTTCTCTCTATTGTTATTATTTTGTCTTTCGTGGAAGGCATTTCATTACCAGGGCTACTTTACTAATTAATTTAGCAATGACATTGACGATATTGAACCCACTCAATGACCCTTTGAGAATATTTTTTAACTTAATAATGCTGCGTTATCAATGCCTATCGAAAAGAAATACGCACAGAATAGATTGCTAAATATTTTATACTTTTTGCTTTCGTACTAAGAACGGATTCTGATGTTAACCGTAAATATGTAGATTTCAAAGTGAGTTCTTAGCTTCATCGCCCCATCCCCCACCGCCCACATCGGCCAACTACAAACCAACCACCCATTACCACCCCGCTTGGTATTTTGATTCATTTTGTTTTACTTTTTCGGTTTGCCGTTCTACTGCGCAACGCAGATAATGCCGAGCGCGAGTACAGAAGAGCACACACATTTCCTGTAGATAAACAGACGTCGCAACCGATACCACCGATATCGTTATTGTCATTGCCGCCGCGCTAGGTATTTGTTGCCACTTTGCTTCTTAGTTGTGATTTTCCAAACAAGAAGCCAACATCGAAAGGAAACTGCGCGATAAGAGCAACGCGTTAACAGGCCTGAGATGCGAGTGTACGACTCAACGGTTTGCCCGGTGAATGTTTTGAGTTAGAAGCTTTATAAGGCACACCCTAATGTATGTATGTACATCTACAAAAAATCGTTCAGTACTTGATGCGTACAGCTTAAATAAATGTATTGCAAAATCTGGTGTAAAAATATAAATAGAATTGCATTACAACAAATTGCGATTGAATAAATAGGGGCGCTACTTTCCCTCGTCCCAACGAAGTGTAACTCATGCGAGGGGGCATTCTGTTCACATTGTGCGTCTTTTATCTAATCGGTTACTTATTATTTGTGGCAACACATGCAGTGCATATGGCAATAATAGTAAAATAAATAAATAAATAAATAAATAAGTGAAAATAGAAACAACAACAAATTGCCCTATTGCGTTCATAAAGAGCTAATAATGGCCGCATTAACACGATCGCGCGAACCGCAAATGCAAGAAAATCCAATTACGGAATCTGGTGGCAAGACACAACAGCAGCGGCAGCAGCAGCAGCAGCAACCGCAAAAGCGGCATCAGTCGCCCCAACCGCTGCAACAAAAGATACAATCACAGGCGCTACCAAAGCATCTGCTAATGCATTCGATGCCCCTCAGCGCCAAGGCGCAAACGGCTGTGGCAGTGGGTGGAGGGGGCGGCGGCGGCGGCGGCGGCAGCGGCAGTGTTGGTGGTGGCGTCTGTTACGCGGGTGTTGGTACACTACCACAGGCACAAACTGCGCAGGTACGTATCTTAATGCAATAACAACAAAAACAGCTCAACATGTAACTACTATGTGTCTCCCCACAAAACATCCCGTTATGCGATGCCCTGATGCTAAATACTCGCATGTACAACTATTGTCTGTATGTGTGTATGTATGTACGCGTACGCGCGTCATTACGTAGATACTTTTTATCTGCAAAGAGGCGCGAAATGTGCCGGTTCACCGGCAAACCCACGCTATCCAACGAACAACGATTAGGCGATTGTATAAATTGACATTCAGACGATGTCTGCACGATGATGGTGTCTGCAAAGTCCGCTTTATGCCTTGGTACACCAAATATGTTTGTATGAGTATGTAAATGTTTTTACCCAGCCAACCTTATTAAAGCTTGATTAGAGAGCGGCATTTTAAAGCGCTTTTCTTATCCCTTGTGAAGTTCCTGTTTTTTATGCAGACCTAAGTGTAAACAGGTTTGTTTTTTGTTGAAAACGCATGGAAGTTGAGCCAAGGGATCTTTGCAATAAAGCAGCATCATCCATACCCGCGCGACATGTCCAAGCCTGTGGCCATAGATCTTGCGTGGACTAGTTCTATCGAGAGCCCTCAAAGCGTTCCCATCTTTGTTCCATATAAATACAGATTGGCGCTTACAAATCTCCCCCGATTTGTGGCGTGCGCCTTGATGTTGCAACACAAAGTGGATGGGCCTACAAT